AGCCATTCTGGCCAGGCAGGAAAGTACATCCATTCCTTTGAGTCCCATAACCAAGCAAGGCCCTACTTTGTGTCATTCATGTTCTTACTTAAGGGCAGGGGCCAGAGAACGGAAGTGCCCTTCTTGCCCTTTGGTGAGCTCATAGTCCAGTGAGATCCTGTAAATGTTGGACATTGGATAGAAGAAGCTTGGAGCTTGGCTGATCCAGGTCGGAAGAAAAAGAACAGATGTAACTCTAGGAGAAGGGACACCCAGTGAGCTTTCATGTGTGGCAGAAACTATTTATCCTCTGCCCGGGTCTCTACCCATAGCCGAGTGTGTCTGTGTGCTGGGAGGATGGGGGTGGGGGCATGCCACAGGAACAGCTGATGGCCAATTAGCCCATCTAAACCAGCAGAGGGGCCAGAGAATGGTGGTTGTCCTTGTTTCTATCATTTTGTCCGAGTATTCCAGTCCCTAGGCCCCTGTTCCACAGACTCTTCGTGACAGTCAACGGCAAGATTAAGACTGCCAAAGAGGAGGAGCTGGCTCAGTTCACTGCCAGGTGATTCATTTTCAAAGGCAAACATGCTCTGAGTATGAAAAGCGTGGCTAGGAAGGCTCTGTGGATTATGACTCAGGTAACAGAACAGGGGGCAGAAGATCTCTTGACCGTGTTGATGAAGACTGAGTACAAAGACCACAGGGCAAAGAGCAGGGAGGGACCTGACCGAGACATTCTGTCCAGGGACAAGGAAGAGCCAGAGGTCGGAGTGACAACCATGGGCAGAAAAGGCTAGGGAAGGGAGAAAGGATGAGGGAGGAAGAACAGGGCTAATGAGTCCAGGAGAGCCCAAGTGGCCCACGGGTAGAGCATCCCTCCCAACGCAAGATGGGGAGTCTCTGCGGCAGCTCCTCTACAGCCTTCTCGGTAATTTACCAGCCTCTGTGTACATAAAGGCATAATTACAGGCAAAACAAGTCCTTTGAAGTAAGAGTATAGAATGTCTAGAGGAAGAGGGATAAATAGAGAACAATCTCGCTTTAATATGTAAACAAGGTTGATAGAAAAATACTGCTAAACAAATAAATAAGCCCAACGAACAGGAGGTTGGGAAAACAAGACCCAGGCTGAGCATGCAGCAGCCCACTCTCCTGGGCCAACCAGAGTGACCTAGCTGACCTCACTAGGCATTTCTGCTTTTCTTCCCCACTTCATACACCTTCCCATCAGGGCGGCTGCATCCACATCTCCTACCTGTTCTCTGCAGATATTCTCAGCAAGTTTCCAAAGAGGCCTGTTTACTTCTGGAATCAAAGCCCCAGAGAGAGGAGGGGTTCCAAAGGGCTTGAATGGTTCCTCCTGGGAAGCAAAGCTAATCGGGAATGGAGCTGAGCTTGTAACCCCGAATCCTGGATGCCTGTCCTGTGATATAGCCCCTGAAATACCACTCTTTCTGCAGGGGCTAAGCTTTATTAGAGAATCTGTTAATTGGGGGGTTCAAGGGGGATGAGAGAGAGAGAGAGAGAGAGAGAGAGAGAGAGAGAGAGAGAGAGAGAGAGAGAGAGCAAGGCGATGCTAATATGATTTAACACTTCATGGACTCTGAAAAAAATAAGGAAGGGGCTTCAGGCTTTAGCTGGGCACATTCATTGTTCCACATACATGCTACCAAAATGAATCTATGCAACTAAACTTCGTGCAGGACTCTGGAGGCAAACTGCAGAAAGACTGTGAAACAAAGAGGCATTTCTCCTGCCTCCACTGTGTCTCTCTCTTGTGTGTCATTGCCTGGTGCTAAGAACTCACATAATAACAGAAAACAATGCCCTCCGATGGGGGGAACCTGATTTGGCACCAGCAGTGGTGTTTTCCGTGGGAATGACGTTGGGGGCTGTGGCTGACTGTGGGAATAGTGCAAATCAGCACTTTTTTGTAGATTTTCTTCAAGCCATTGTTTGTTTTGGCTTTGGTCGGATCCGTAGCCCAGCTTGAAGATTCCCACTGGGTTTTCTAAAGCCCGCAGACCTATGAGAGATGGAACAGGGATAAATAAATAATAACAAAACACCCTTCCCCTGCCCTGGCACTCATGTGTGGGGTGTGTCTGTCTCAGTGGGTGTATACATACCCACATGTGGTTTGCAGTACCGTATATATGCAACCCATCCCACCGCTAAGGACTTAAAGAGAAACTCTGGATTAGCTGGCTCCTTGTCTCACTATCATCTTTCATTTGGGGCAAAGGAGACCAGAGCTGTCTTCTCAAAGTATCAGTTTTTGGAAAATGGCATTGAATAAAACTTGTTGGAAATTGTACCTACACAAGACTTTCCTAAAGTCCTTAGATGTTTGTGGACATTTAAACGTGAACAGTTCAGAATCAGAAGGTTCTGAGAGAAACAAAGAGAAAGGTCAGTAATTGTGCTGGTAATGGAATGTGAACATCTAGCTCACAGCTCTTCCGAAGGTCCTCGCTTTACTCTAGTCAAAGGGTGCAGAGTTTAACCATGCAAAAATCTGCCATAAGATGAAAAAACAAACAAAGAATATGTGGACAATTGCTATATTCTGATCCAAACTGTGAATGTATTTATTTCTAAGTGCCAGACACTACCTGTCCTTGTCTTAGAAGCAGGTTAGTACATATTTAATTTTTTTTAAGTGTGTGCATGTATGGTGCATATGCATTTGTGGTATACACACACGCATACTTGTTACATGGCACACTTGTGGAGATGAGACAGCTTGTGTGAGAGTTTTCTCTCCTTCCATTATGTGAGTTCCAGGGGTTGAAGTCAGGCCACCGTGCTTGCCTGTAAGTGCCTTTACTGGCTGGGCCATCTCACCTGACTGTATATAATTTTTTAAAGATTTACTTCATTTTATGTATATGCAAATGTGTACCTGAATGTATATATGTGCACCTCATGTTGCAAGTCACTGAAGAAGGCCATGTTGGATTCCTTGGAACTGGAGTTTCAGGGAAATGTGAGCTGCCCGATGTGGGTGTGGAACTGAACTTGGGCCCTCTGCAACAACAGCAAGTGCCCTTGGCTGCTGAGCTATCTCTCCAGTTCCCGGCCTCGTTTGTTAAAAATTTCTGTATGTGTTTGGTGTTTTGCCTGCATGCATGTCGGTGCACCACGAGCGTGCCTGGTATCTGCAGAGGTCAGAAGAGGGTGTCTGTCCCCTAGAACTTTAGTCACAGATGGTTGTGAGCTACCATATGGGTGCTGGGAATCGAATCTGGGTCCTCTGGAAGAGCAGCCAGTGCTCTTAACTGCTGAACTGCTTCTTCCCAGTTCATTTTTTAAAAAATGTGTGTATGTGTTCCTGGGGTTGAAACCCAGGGCTTTGTGCAAGCAAGCTAAGTAGGTAAGCTACTTTAATGCTGAGTTATATCCACAGCCCAGTTTATAACATTTTTCAGAGTACACAAAGGTCTTTTTGCAGGCTGTATGTGAGGGATGTGTATACAGGTTCTGTAAATGGTAAAGAGCCTTTTGCAAAGAAAATATTCTTTATTTAAAAAGTCACCGTTTTCAGTCTTTGTGACAAATGCATATGAAAGTATTTGGGGCTGGCAATGACAAGACACAACTCCAGGGGGCAGCATTCTCCTCTAGAGAACAAGACCAGGTCTCCTTATAAGAAAGTCTTTGGATGGATATGTTTTGAGATGTTTTCCAGTGAAGTGCAGAAAAGTCTTGTTTACCTCATCCATTCTGACTTAGATTCAAGTTACATCAGCAAAGGGGACCTAGGTTCCTGCTCTAAAAGCTCTTACAAAGGGGCTACCCTTGTAGGCCAGTGTGAGAACACTTGCCCAGCATGCACAGAGCTTTGATCTTCAGCAACAGAACAAAACCTCTTCGTGTGGCCCAGGGTGTGCCAGGTGTGGTTTTAACTTAGTTCACCCACCCAAGCATCTTATCAGGAGTTTCAGGGAGGTGGAAATGTCGCCCAAGATGGGTTAGAGGATTTGTCCAGTCTGCATGTAACAAACCTAGAACTCTGCCGCTTCTTTACCTGGCTCCAGAACACTTCTCAGCTCTCCTGGTGTCTCCCACACATCTGTCAGGCCCCGCGGCTCAAGCAACAGCTGTCTGCTGGGTTAGGGATAAGGATATAGGGGTGTGGGAGTGGGGGTGTGGGGGAGTGCCCGGCTGCTCTGAGGGTAGAAAAGGTGGTTCCCAGCCTGTCACTTCTGTCTTTGGGCCTCTCTGTCACAGAAAAGGGAGCCAGTTGTGGATATACCCTACTGTGAGCTTTGCACAGCTGGACTGAGGAGTGTGGAGAGATGCTCACATCTCCTCCCCCTTCCTGGAAAATAACTTTGCATTTGAAGGGTTGCAAAGGAGTGGGTAATCTGTAACCCAGAGAGGGCAGCCTTGAGATTTCATCGGGCTGTGTGAATGTAAACACAGGTGGGTGCGTGTGTGTGTGTGTGTGTGTGTGTGTGTGTGTGTGTGTGTGTGTTTGCGCGCGTGCGCGTTCATGTGTCAAACGTTTGTGTTGGGAGTTTCTAGTTACATGTGCTGTTTCGATTCTCCCCGTCAGAATTGGACTTTTATTATTTGATTTTGAAAAAAAGTCTTAATATTTAGCTCAGGCTAGCTTTGAACTAGCGATCTTCCTTTCTCAACCTACTGAGAATTGGGTTTTTATCTAAAAATAATAATTTTTAAAAAACCCTAGCAGCTGTCGCTTATTGGGGACCTACTATGTGCCAGGCATTGTGCTGAATTATTTTACTGTGAAGAAAATCATTTTTGTGCAGATGCACCCAGAGACACCCGGAGTATTTTTTTTTCCATTCCTGTTTAAAGTGCAGCGCTCTCTACGCAGCTGGGATTTGGGGAGAGAACGGGAAGGGTGCTGGGATCGGCAAGGGGCGGGCCCTGCCTCCCTAGTCTCCACCATTTATTTTGACCGGTCAGATGGCGACAGACTCGCACTAGGACCCAGGCGCCACAGCGCCTCCGTCTGTCCTGTAGGTTCATTCAATCTCCCATACACACAGACCCACACAGCGAGAGCGACACACACACTCACACTCACAACTGCACGCAGCGAGGCTCGGGAAGTCAGGCCCGCTCCTTGCCCGGGCGCTTCCTCGGCTCCAGCAGGCCGGGTCTCCCAGGGGGCCCGCAGCTCGGCCGGCCGAGCAGCCCCGGACCAGGACCAGCTCGCTGGACCCCCGTGCCTCCATGGGCAAACGCGGGCGGCCGCGCAAGGAGGCGCGCTGCGAGGGCTCGGGGCTGGTCCCCGTCGCGCCCCCGGCCATGCCCCCGGCCGCGGCCGCGCCCCAAGCCCCGGCGCAGCCCGAGGAGCCGGCGGGGGCCAAGCCCCGGTGCCCCTTCTCGGACATTTTCAACACCAGCGAGAACTCGATGGAGAAGCACATCAACACTTTTCTGCAGAACGTGCAGATTCTGCTCGAGGCAGCCAGCTACCTGGAGCAGATCGAGAAAGAAAACAAAAGTAAGTTTGGGGGCCCGGCTGCTCGCCGGCGCCCAGCTCTTTCTTTCGCCCCCTTGGGCGACCCCTGTCGCCTGCTCAGCTCGTCCCCCCCAACACACACGCACGCGCGCGCGCACACGCACACACACACACACACACACACACACACACACACACACACACACATACACACGCACACATGAACCCTCAGCAATAAAGCCGATGACACCGGAGAAAGGACACGCACGCACGCACAAAGCTGCTAAAGATGTAACAAAGACAGCGAGGGGGAGAGGGAGCCTGTCGGTGCCTTGGTCTGTCCGTCTCGAGCAGGCCCGGAGGACGGCCTGGCCGAGGAGTGGGGGAGTGTTGTTGTTTGCTGACAACTGAGCTGCGAGGCTGCGAGCTCGTCCCTCCGAGGTCGCCTTTCTTCCTTTTTTTCCCCTTTTTCTTTCCGGAGCCTTCTCGGGCAGACAAGTGTTGTTTTCTTGTCGCTCGTTTCCAGGGTTGGGTGGGGATTAGAAGCTGAAAGTTGGAAACGGTAAGCAGAGCTCAGGGCTTCCAGAAAGAAAACAGATACACATTACAACAATAACAACCACCACCACCGCCGCCGCGAAACAGCTCTCCACGCCGTGGGCCCTGGCTCCGGCTCTTCCTCCTGCCTACTTCGTTTCTCCTCCCTTCCCGCAGCAGGACTAGGCTCAGGCCATCGTGTCTACTCCATAGTTCCCCTATTCCTCCTTGGCCCTGGGATGCCACGGCCTCTGGTCCCCTCAAAGAAACAGGCCGGTGGAACCAGGCAGCGCCAGCAGCTCTCCCTGGACCTGTGGTCCAGAGCGCGCTGGGTGTGGGGGACTTGGCGAGGGGGATGTGGCTAAAAGCAAACTTTAGGATTCCACAGAAACAATAGTTGGGGAAGAAGGTGTGGGCTGTTGTGTGCGTTTTCTTTATTTTCTGAGAGACGCACAGGGTGAGCAAGGCAAACGCCTTACTGGGTACCGTCTGCCCCCCCCCCCCCGTGGCGACCGATGCTAGGAACCCCACCCCGGCCTGGGCTTCCTTTCTGTATTTGTTTCATTTTTTGTTCCTGCCAGTCGGGGCCCCCAGCTCTCGCCAGGCATTCGACTTAGCACCCTAAGGGGGGCACGCGTGTGCTGCGTCTCCAGCACCGTCCTCAGAATAATAGCTGTGAGAAGGAAGCTTTTATACGGGCCGAGGGGGTAAAGACTCACAGAGAGGAGAAAACCGAGATGTGTAATCTGCCAGAAGAAAGTAGGAAGATCAATGAAAAGGAGCTGATTGCAACGTGTCAGATCTTGCAAGACCCCACCACCACCACCACAACCATCAAAACACAAAAACACCTTCACCAAATACACCCGGGCCTTTAGGGTTAAAGTAACCGAGTGTTGGCAGCGCAATTGTGGGGACTTGGTAAGATCAAAACAAGGATCTGTGTCGGGAGGTCGATGGTGCGATCTTTTCTTTCTCTTGTCGCCTCTTTGCTCCGAGTGCCTGCCTGGATTGCGAGAGGCACATCGCAGTCAGGCTGTGTGGCCGAGTAGCTGAGCGATTATTCATTGGGGTGTGTATAGGGGGGTGCTTTCGTCTGGAGAATAGTTTCTGAAAAGCCCAGGCTAGTGGGGAGCTGGGTGAAGAGGTGGTTTTGTTTGGTGCGTTTGCTTTTGTTGCAGGGGGAGGGGCACGATTTCTTTAGTCGTCCCCCTCCCGGATCCCCTGTCTCTGGAGTCTGTCCCGTGGCGCCGACTCTGACTCGGGGGGTGCACCCAAAGAGGGCACCTTGGCAATACTCAGCGAACCTCGTCCGTCCCCCCCCCCACCCCGTGCAATGAGATATATTAGGAGGTGGTCGGAGATCCCCCAGCGTCTTGTGCCGCCCCCCACTTCATACCCGCAGACAATCGGAGACCTAGCGCCCCCCCCCCCCCCCCGCCGCGCGCACCCTGGCCGCCTCCACCTCCTTGTTTACCCCGTGTCGGGGCTCCGGCGTGGCCACCAGTCACGTAAGCAGAGAGCCGGGCGCGCCCGACTGGGCTGCCCCGCGCGGGGCGGGCCCGTGGTGGCTGAGCCAGGGCTCCAGAGGCCGGCACAGTTGAGGGGCTTCCTCCCGGGCCCTCTCCCGGGGTGTCCGCTCAACAAGCCCACCGGCCCTGGAGAGGGGCTCCAGAGCCTCTGCACCCCAGTCAAAGTCAACTTCATGTGCGTAATCAGCCCCTCGGCCCGCATCCCCCCTCCTCCGACCGGCTCCCCGCGGGAGTATTTTTAGCACTCTCGCGTCTTTTCGCCGCTGCTGTTTGGCTCGAAATGACGTGATGCCAACAGCCCCCAGATTTCCCCGAGAGCGTGGGGCGCTGCGCCGTGCCTGGCTCGGCTGCAGGGACTCAGCTCCAGGCCCTCGCTCCCTCCGCGACAGCTCACGTAGGCGGGGGTGACCCTCCCGCAAACTCGAGGAGACCACCCGTCGGACCCCCCAGATTATTCTAACAGAAGCAGCCCACTCTGCCCACTTTATCCGCTCCACTCTCCTCCTCCCCCTCGCAGTCAGGGTACCCCCCCTCCCCAGTACGGCAAACACCGAGCCAGCCCTACATCTGTCTCGCTTTATTGGGGGCGCTTCTTCGCGCAGCCGGCGCTCGCCGTTGTTTTCTGCTCGCTGCACACAATGCCCGCGCGTCACGGCGGTCCGCGTGTGCACAGCAATAACGCGAGTCGGGGGGCGGGTCGTGCGTGCGCCGGGCTCGGGCACTGCGGGTCGCTCCGCGCGCGCGGGGCTTGTTTTGCTCCAGAGCTCTGCTTTCCGAAACGCTTACATCATTCAGTTGTTGAGGGGGTGGGGGTGGGAGGGGAATCTGGGCGTTCTGATAGGATTCCAGCATTTCCCTGGCCCCTGGCTTTTTGGAAGAAGTAAAGACCCTCCCCACCTATGCTTTGTAGTTATTATGATGGGGGTGGGTGCCCAGGTTTTGTTTGTTATCTGAGTCTTTTTTTTTAGGTCACTACTGCAAAGGGCATGGCTGGCGGGTTCAGGTGCACAACCTCCCCGCCTTCATTTCAGCGAGTTCCCCTGTAATCACTTGATCTCAGTTTCTCCGCCTCCTCCTCCTCCCCCTCCCAGCACTAGACACATGGTTTCCACATGGAGACAAACTTCTTTCCTCCGACTGGACTTGACCTAGCTGCATCGTCCAGCCAATCGGCAGCATCCGCCTCTTCTGACGTCACGCGTTGCTGAGGCCGGAGGCTGGGGGGCGGGGTCAGGACGTGAGCCAGGAAATCACTAGGCGCTGTAGTGCAGCCAGCTGGTCCAGTCTTTTCTTAAAGGGACTCTCTTCTTGGAGACAAGCCGGCCCTTTCGACTCCATTTCGGGTTCCCTGAGCCCTTCCCGAGATGCGCCGATAGTGTCTGATCACGCGTTCACACGTCTGGTTTTCAGTGTTTGCAAAGTACTCACTTAGCTTATTTTCCACTCTAGCCAGAACTACTTTTTATTGCCTCTTTGAGGTTTCCGTACTGGGAGTGTTCACCAAGTTTTGGCCGCAATGATGAATTATTTCCATTAGATGGGGTGATTTTCTTGGGGGAGGAGTTCAAATAGTTACTCAGTGTTGACCATGCACTATGTGCAAGGGAAGGGTTCCCTAGGAAATGCAGGTACAGTCTTCTGAAATGTCACCTGGTGTGAATCTATGAATCTCAAAAGCTTCTAGAAATATTTATCACGTAGGCAGTGACCCTGTTATGACAGACCCAGAAACAGCCTGCGGCGTCATCCCTTGTACACCTGTGGAATCCAGTGGAAGGGTAACAGTTACAGAGTACTACTTAGAAAAAGGTATATCTCTACTGTGGCAAAGCCAAAAACTTACAAAATAATTGTTACCTGAATAAAAACTGGAAGTTGGGGGTTGGAGAGAGGGGTCAGCAGTTGAGTGTGTATTGCTCTTGCAGAGGACCTGAGTTGTGTTCTCAGTACCTATGTGAGCATCTCACAGCCAGCTGTAACTCCAGTTCCAAGGAGAACCAACACTTCTGGCCTCCAAGGGCACTTCCACAGATGCACACATACATACACATATAAATCCTAAAAACAAATAAAACACCTGTAAGCCAGAAAAAGTTAAGGTGTTAGCTAAGGCCCAGAGGAGAAAGACAGCTCCAGTGTTTGGGGCAGGTGCTTTGGAGGCTGCCTCAGCCAGGCACGTGTGACCAGATAACAACAGAAGCCGCAGTTTACTCTCAGGGAGTGGACTGCCTGGGTTGGAGGTAGGGTGTGTTCCTAGGGGCATGGACAGGCCCTGAAGCACCTTCCTCCTGTTGGTATAGAAAGCTTCAGCTGGAAGTTGCTGCTGTGAGGTGTTCTTTGGCCCCACCCTGTCTTCCTGACTTAATCTCCTCTGCTTGGCCATGAAACCTCAACTCCTGTCCAGCAGGTCCACCAGCAAACAGGCTTCACAGTCCTGCCCTTGTGCTTGACTCAGTCAGGACACCCTCACTCTCCTACTCCCCAGGGTTTCTGTGTCCTACCCTTCCTTCATGACTAGGCTAATGCCTACCTCCTCCTTGAGGCCTATGGGCTGTTTCAGCTAGATGGGTGTTAATTCTTGAGTCAGCTTAGTTGAGAGTCTGAAATGCTTTGCAGTCCGAAGGAGCAGAGGTCCAAATTCCTACTCTGTTGTTTGGACACAAGTTACTTAGACTCTCTGAGGCTGCATTTTGTAAGTAGGGCATGTGAACATAATGATACCAAATCCCTTACATCATCGCAGAATGACTGAATCACCAGTTTTGAGCATTTCAAGCATCTGAAATACAGTACATGCTCAATAACTAGTAACTTATGGGGCTGGAGAGATGGCTCAGCAGTTAAGGGCTTGTTGCTCATGCAGAGGATCTGAGTTCTGTTTCTAGCACACACATCCAGAGGCTGACAACTGCCTTGACTCCAGTTCTGGGGATACAGCACCCTCTTTTGGCCTCCTTGGGAGCCTACATGCAC